GAGTTAGTGTTAATTTAGGAGTTAGGGCAAGGGCTAATGTGCATTCGTGGGTTACGGCATGTGCAGGGCTCTGCGTGGCTGGGGTGGGGCGTGGCGTGGGCGTGGCATAGGCTCGAGCGAGGGCCAATCATCGCCGGTTGCGGCTATATTTATTATTATTATTATTATTATTATTATTATTATTATTATTATTATTATTCCTTTGGATGTTATTAGACTTTACTTGGCAAAGAAAATCATGTGTAAGGACAACCACTAGAGGTCAGTGTGGGGCAGTGTACTTCTCTTAAGGTCTGGGTTATTCCTGTTCAACTACTACCCTGGTCCAGTCCTGCTTAGTCCGGGTTGAGTTCTGGTTAAGTCCTGGTTCCATCTTGGATCAGCCCTTTTTCAGCCCTAGTTCAGGCTTGGTTTAATTCTGATTTAGTCTTGGTTCAACCCTATTGTCCTGCTTAGTCTGGGTTTAGTTCTGGTTATGTTCTAATCTTGTTTCAGCCCTTATTTAACCCTGGTACCGTTGTGATTTGATCCTGATTTCTTCTTGGTTCAACCCTAGATTAATCTTTGTTCAGTTCTGGTTCAGTCCTGATCCAGTCTTGGTATGAATCTGGTTCAGTCTTGGTTTGAATCTGGTTCAGTCCTGGTCAAGTCTTGGTTTGAATCTGGTTCAGTCTTGGTTTGAATCTGGTTCAGTCCTGGTTCAGTCTTGGTTTGATGCTGGTTCAGTCCTGGTTCAGTCTTGGTTTGAATCTGGTTCAGTCCTGGTCCAGTCTTGGTTTGAATCTGGTTCAGTCTTGGTCCAGTCTTAGTTTGATGTTGGTTCAGTCTTAGTTCAGTCTTGCACGCATCACAATAAACATCCAGATGTGCACGGTACGACAACAACAACAACAACAACAACAACGCCCGTGTAAAGCCTGACATCTCCCCCCACCGTCCCCTCCTCCCCGTCCCCTGCGTCACGGGCGGCGTCAGCGGATGAGCTCAGCGTTATTACCGGAGGGGAGGGGGGGAAGGGCGCACACATCACCGACAAATAAGGACTGGAGGAAGAGAGGGAACGAAGGGAGAGGAGAGAAAAGTGTTCATAGAAGGCTGGAAAGACACGGCCATCTTGTGACTGTAGGAAGCAGAGGCGGGGACTTGCGAGTCATGATTTGGATTCGAGTCAGACTTGAGTCACTATTTTTAGAACTTGAGACTTGACTTGATAAAATGACAAAGACTCAGTTTAAGACGAGACTGAAAACTCACCTCTTCTCCCTGGCGTTTAGTACGTCGTAGTCAGTGTTGGGAAGGTTACTTTTAAAATGTATTCCCCTACAGATTACAGATTACATACCCCAAAAAGTAGTTTGTAACAGAATCCATTAAGTTACTTAAAGTGAGTAACGTAATCTGAATACTTTGGATTATTTGATTTGCTGTAGAGAAGCAAAGACGAGGAAATCTTCACTTAAATGTTTTGTCTGATAAAAGAAAATGAAAAGGCCAAGTCTTTCCTTAACCAGATTAAAAATATTATTGAAGACGAGGAGACATGGTCCGAGAGGCGTGGTTTAGTCCTGTTAAATCCTGCTTTAGACCTGGTTTAGTCCTGGTTTTAGTCCTGGTTTAGTCCTGGTTTAGTCCTGGTTTAGTCCTGGTTTAGTTCTGGTTTAGTCCTGGTTTAGTTCTGGTTTAGTCCTGGTTTAGTTCTGGTTTAGACCTGGTTTAGTCCTGGTTTAGACCTGGTTTAGTCCTGGTTTAGACCTGGTTTAGTCCTGGTTTTAGTCCTGGTTTAGTCCTGGTTTTAGTCCTGGTTTAGACCTGGTTTAGTCCTGGTTTAGTCCTGGTTTAGTTCCTGGTTTTAGACCTGGTTTAGTCCTGGTTTAGACCTGGTTTAGTCCTGGTTTAGACTTGGTTTAGTCCTGGTTTAGACCTGGTTTAGTCCTGGTTTAGACCTGGTTTAGTCCTGGTTTAGACTTGGTTTAGTCCTGGTTTAGTCCTGGTTTAGTCCTGGTTTAGTGTTCGGAGTGGAATTAAAATGTGAAAACAGGAAAATACCTCTGTGTAATCCATTTATTTCAACAAAGTAACTGTAATCCAATTACCACTCATTACAACAGTAACTGTAACTGAATACAGTTACTCATAATTTGTACTCTGATTACGTAACTCCATCTCGTATGCATCTCGAATCAGCAAAACAAATTTACCGACGGGTACGAATAAAGCAGCCTAACCTAACCATACTGTGAAAATGCACCTTTAAAAAAATCCAGCATGCGTTCTTGTATATAGTCTTACAGTCCAAACATGGCGCTGGATGTCGAGTTTTCACAAGTTGCCATGACGACGGTGCCTCTAGTTTTATTACAGGCTGCATGACTGGGTGGGGAGACGGCGGGCGTGTCCCTGCTCTCCTCCGCGCACACACAGCACCGAGACACAGACGAGCGCGCAGCCAGACAGCGGCATCCGACACACCGCGAAGGTTCTCCATCGTCCCACAAAACAGACAAAACGTTGAAACGCGACGCACGTACGGGAGCGTAAAAGGAACTAAAACACCGACAAACGAACGAACGAAAGAAGGGGATCGTTCCAGCGGAGGGATTCAGTACCTCGGACAGCGAACATGGCTCCGATGGTGGTAGAAGGGGCGCAGATCGGTAAGGAACCACGATTCTCTCACGTTTTTTCTTGTGGTGGTTCGTTCGTGTCTGGGTTTGGATGTGGGAAAAGGACTAAAAACGCGCAAATGATCGACAGAATGACACTAAAAACCTAAATATTCTTCATGTTAATTATGGGTCGCTAGGGTTTAGATGACATCATAACATTATACGCAGTTGGCTCCCATAATGCCTGGCTGTTGTTAATCTGCAGATGTTGTGTGGCTGGATAAAAATAGCAGAATATTGGATTTTGTCACTAATAAGAATGTTAAATTAATGGTAAATTTGCGGATTTCCTGCGGTTAACAAACTGGAGAGGAGAGCTTTACATCATTTTGGCCTAATATTGGCTACGATGTCCTTAAGAAAAGAGAGAGATCGTTCATGAGGTACATATGTTCATTTTGTTAGTGAGGAATAGCCTTTAAAATGCAGGATTACGCTCGTGACGTAACGGATTGGATGTTGGATGCGCGTCACGATGTAAGATACTACTGTACTGTAAAATCGTTTGGTAACATTGGCCTCTTCGGGGTTAATAACTTCGAGAAAAATCCAGAATTGAAAAAAACAAAACAAAAAAAAACTGGTTGTGCTTCGTAAAATGCTTACCAGTTGCGCATGCGTAAATGGGTTGGTTTAATTGACCGATGGATCGATTTTTAACGACGCCAAAGGGCATCGCGGTGGGAGGGCGGACCCGGGGTGAGTCGAGTCCCCCGTGGTGCTGATGCCGGTGTCGTGTCGAGGGAGGCGGCTCCACCCAGTACGAGGAGCTCCAGGGGTGGAAAGCATCTCATTTTTGGGGATAGATTGTTTGGACTCAATTTTTAAACCCTGTACTTGTGATTCCGTCAAGATTTGTATATCGATTTGTTGCTCGATCATTTGAATCGTTTTATGTAAGCATGATTTCATTATGTTGGTTGCTTAAAGACGGGCAGATTACATTTTTGGAGCTTTCTCCCGTGTTCACACATCAAAAACATGCCCGAAGAGGTTTTAGACGTCATCCGTGCATGTTTGAGTAATATAGTGATCTCGATTTTATGGTTCATTGTAAGATTCTGTGCAAGGAGGAGTGAACTAGGAGTAAACAGGGTTGTACAAGGACTAAACCAAGATTAAACCAGGATTAAACCAAGATTAAACCAGGACTAAACCAGAATTAAACCAGGGCTAAACTAGGGCTAAAGCAAGATTAAACCAAGACTAAACCAAGATTAAACCAGAACTAAACTAGGGCTAAAGCAAGATTAAACCAGGAATAAACTAGGGCTAAAGCAAGATTAAACCAGGACTAAACCAAGATTAAATCAGGACTAAATCAAGGCTAAACCAAGATTAAACCAGGAATAAAAGAGGGCTAAACCAAGACTAAACCAAGACTAAACCAAGACTAAACCAGGACTAAAGCAGGATTAAACCAGATCTAAACCAGGACTGAACCTGGACTGAACCAGGACTATATTGTACAGCGAAAATGTGATATTGATTGAGTGTTGTTGCTGGGACGACGCTGGTTTCTGCCTCTGTGATCCTGTGGTCAGTGGGTTTACAGAGGAAGTGGTCAGCCTGAAGCAATGTCAGGCCTCAGATAATGTGACCGAGTATTATGAGGATGATAATGAGAATAAACACAAGACTCAGATCAGATACAGGCTGATTACTGCCACAGACTCAGAAGGCAGAGTCAAATCAGTCCCACCGAACAAAATCAGCTTGTATGACCTTTTAACCATGTGATAGTTGTTTCTTCTCACCATTTACACTCTGAAGTTGTATTTGGAGTGATTCGTGTATGTTTGAGTCATCGTTTGTTTTCAAGATGCCATTTTTCTGATCAGTGCTCATTTTCAGCTCCACCAGTACACGCCCACTGTGGTGTACGCACTCATGTAGGATTCAGCAGCGTTGTGTTGTAATTTTGGTACAAATGAAAAAAAATCCTGTGATATGGGGATGTGCAGTTATCCATAGGAGCGGCACACAGCATGTGTGCTGCTTTATTGTGATTCCATTGGACACAGCAGTTTTGTGAAGTACAATTCAGCGCACTTGTTTTTTTCATTAAGTCATTTTAGATTAATATTAAGTTGTCCAAATTATAACATAGAATGATCCACAGGGGTCAGAGGTTATAACTATAGAGCAGTGGTTTTCAATAGGTGAGGCCCTCCTCCCCTGGGAGACACCAAAGAGCCGCTGGGGAGACGTGACAGGGCTATCACGCTTTCCAGACACCCTGCTCTGCAGGCTCGGTGTTCTCCCTCTCTCTCAAGGATTTATTCCTGGTTTATTCCTGGTTTAGTCCTGGTATAGGCCTGGATTAGATCTGATTTAGACCTGGTTTAGTCCTGTGTCCTACTGATGTTCAGTGATGTTGAAAGTCACCTCGATTAGGCCTGCATGAATCTGGAAATGATTTGCTTTTGCAAAAATAATTAATGAATGCATTTTTTTTTTTTTTATATATGAAAATACAATATTAAAAAAATATATGATCAGTTGTTACTGAAACTCATAATTTCCGGGAAAACAAAAGATGCATTTACTTCTGTGGCCTGTGTGGGGGGAGCAGGTGGATGGGATTTTGGGCAAGGGGGTCCTCGGCTGTCCTCACCTACTCTAAAGAGAGACTCACATTCACCCAATTTGAAAAGCCCTGTTACAGAGAACAAACAAGCACTATATGTCTGCTTTAAAGGTGCACCATGTAAGCTTTTGTTCCACAGAGTAGGGTATTACATTTTTCTGTCTTACATTTATACAGTTGCAAGTGTTTGTATTGCCATATATAAAAAAAACAACAACAACATACAGAGCAACTTGACAAACCTGATGTGGGATACATAGTGCTCTGAAGGGGGAATGACTTAGTGCAGGGAGCAAAGGGAGGGGAGACTCTAATGAGAAACAATGTGTTTTCGGCAAATATAGCATTTCCAAAACAATAAAATGTAACATGGTGATCTAAATATATGTTAACAGTTAATACCCATCAGAAGTGTTATACCCCACTTTTAAAAAAATTCAAAATAAAAAGTTGAGTAAAGTCACCCATTAAATTTCCTAAACCCACACTGCATGAATATTCTCCTCTTTGGTTTGTCAGTGGCAGTCCCTGCTGGCGTGGCTCTGGTGAGCATCTTCGGCCTGGTCTTCACCGTCTCCGCCTTCGCCTGGATCTGCTGCCAGCGCAAGACCTCCAAGACCCACCAGAGCCCCCCGTACAAGTTCGTGCACATGCTCAAGGGGGTGGACATCTACCCGGAGAGCCTGACGCGGGGCAAGAAGACCGCCTCCTCCGCCCACGAGCCAGCCAAGACCGACGTCAACGGCAACACCCACGCCCCCTCCTGCCCCCACAGCCCCAAACAGGCCACCACCCCCGGAGGAACCGCCAGGCCCTCCATGCACCTGGAGCTTGAGAAGAGGGACCTCAACGGGAACTTCACCACCAAACCCTTCCACCACCACCACCAGCAGAGGGCAGAGGTGAAGACACTCATGAGGGACTGTTGATATGTTGCAGGGACATCACGCTGGGGGAGTTCTACACGCTGTTGTTACTTCATCAACATCTCCTGAGGGTGTGAATCTAAATACTCATATATAAATATACTAGGACTTTTTAAGTACAGTTTAGCTTTAAAGTCATAGAAATTGCAAAAATCTAAAGACTTGAAATTACTTGAAGCTCTAAGCACGTGAACTTGACTTGTATTTATGACCTAGTAATTCGACTTGGACTTGCCTGTATTTGACTTGGGACTTGACTTGGACTTGAGGTCAAAGACTTGAGACTTGCAAAACAACGACTTGATCTAACAGAGTAGTGCTTTCAGTTAGCATCACACCTCCAGGGAATGTTGATGACATTAGATCAAAGGATCAATTGGAATATTTGCTGGAACAAAATAATCACAATTCAGTTCACAGTGATGTTGTCTTGATACTAAAATTGCAATTTTACAAGAATATAATTTTAGCAAACAATAGACTAAGTTAAAGCCACAGTATGTATCTTGCATCTCCCCAGAACTGCCTCTTATATGGCATGAGAAATGTTTTTGCTTATTTATTTTTTCCAAACGTTACACAAGTAAATCTAACTGAATGGTACTTCGCTTACCCTCAGCAGAAGGTCCGGAGCTCCCCAGACCTGGAGCTGCCCTCTCCCCACGCAGGCTTCACTCAGCCTGGGGTGACAGAGCACAGGGAGCCGGCCTCTCCCTCCAGCACCACCTCCAGCCAGGCCCCCACACCCATGCTGGACAAGGCCCCAGCAGAGGAGCGTGACAGCGGGCTGGGGACACTGCACTTCTCCCTGGAGTACCAGGCTGAGAAGAAGGCATTCATTGTCCACATTAAGGTCTGTTTCAGAGCTTTTAACCATGTTAGAGTTGTTTTCCCTCACCATTTACTAGGGGTGTAACGGTACACAACAATCACGGTTCAGTATGTACCTCGATTTTAAGGCCACAGTTTGGTTCATTTTCGGTACAGTATGTAACAAAATGCAAAACCAATTGTGTGTTTATTAAACCAACAATTTGTTTTAACATTATACAAACAGGAACATAAAATACATGCAAAGTGCTGTGTGGTAATACTAATAAGTTAAATAAAATATTCTCAAATAAGCAACAAATGTATGAAATATTATAAAAAATAAATTCCTTGTAAACAGGAAAAAAAAAAAAAAAAAAAAAAAACGTTCAAAAAATAAAGCGCAGCACTAACAGTGCCAGCATGAACTTTTACTCAATCTTCATATTTTGGGCCAGAAAAAACAACTTGCCCACATTGTCTGCAGTAAGTGCAGATCTGCTGCAGTTACAACGTCTCCAGCAAGTGAAAGTGACGACTGTAGTTTTGTGAGGATTCATGTGGTTAGGAGGGATGTAGTCAAGGCAGGGGGCAATTGTTGTCAAGACAACCGCCCTAACTATAAAGTGCTGTGGGAAACACTGCCCCACAAGTTCCTTGTGAAAATTAAAGAGCCAATCCTTCCATGTAGCTGCACATGTAGTGGTGGAATGTAAACACAAATTTTGTGAATTCATTCAGTATGTACAGCAAACCAAGCGTCCTGTACCGAAACGGTTCAGCACAAATTCATGTACCATTACACCCTTACCATTTACTCACTCTACATTGGAAATTGGCATTAGAGTGGTTTGTGCATGTTTGAGGAATCTTTAATTAATTCATTATCTTCAAAACTCTCCTAGTTTCACCACCATCAGTACACGCCCACTGTGATGTACACACTTCCTTCTCTCATTTTAAATGTTATTTTCTTAATCTGTGATACATGTAGGATTTGGCAGCATCATGTAGTCATTTTCATCTCGATGCAAAATGCTCTGCTCTAGTGTGATGTGCAGATATCCATAGGAGGGGCCCACAGCCTGCGCGCTTTGTTGTCATGATGTTAATGGCGATGTCAGCTCCACAATATGGCACTGTAGCATGATATGACGCTGTACCTGATTCATGGAAATCACAGAAATGCTAACAACTAGCATGCCAATCACACACTTTCAGATTCTTGGACAATAAAATGCTAGATACAGATTTATTTTGAGCTGCTTATTCAATATATATGTACTGAAGCAATACTTATTTTGCTCAGATACACTTATTTTGTCCAGGCACCTCCAGTAGAGTCATTTGGATCATTTCAGATCTGGAATTGACAATCTCTACTGAACAAAAAATAAAAGATGCTGTTAGCTTAAAAACTACTGCTTCTACATCACGAGGTGGACCAGAGCATTTGGAGGTTTAGAGGATCAAAATCAAATCCAATATACTTTATTGTTCCCGAGGGAAGTTTGTTTTAGACAAACTGTTGACATCTGCAGAACACACAATAAAGACAATACATGACATACAGTGTTAGAAATACACACATTTAGCTCTAAATAGTCTGTAGACAGAATAATAATAAAGGGTTACTCATACATGCATTAGTTCTAAAAGGTACTACTTTGTTCTATGTATAGGATTTCGTTTAGTATCAATACTTCACATGAGGGTGTCATTGCAGTAGTAGTTTGGATCAGTTCTGGAGTATTGATTATGTGATAACGTTACATGAACCACTGTAATGTAATCTGTATAACGATCTGTAGAATCATCTGATATTCTCAGAGGCTTTTGTGTCCATTAGGTGAGAGAAGGGCGGAGTGTCACTTCCTGTCTGACTCATCTCATTCCTTCTGCTTTGTCAAGTGTGTCTATGTGTGTGTTTGATTAAAATAGACTTCTTGCATGTCTCTGCCTAACATGTCTTCTTTATCCACGGCCACAGGAAGCCCAGGGCCTGACTCCCACAGATGAGCACTCCCTGACCTCTGACCCCTACATCAAGCTGACCCTGCTGCCGGAGAAGAAGCACCGCGTGAAGACCCGTGTGCTGAGGAAGACCCTGAGCCCGGCCTTTGATGAGACATTCAGCTTCTACGGTTTGACCCACACACGTGTCCAGCAGCTCAGCCTGCACTTTGTGGTCCTCAGCTTCGACCGCTTCTCTAGAGACGAGGTGATCGGGGAGAGCCTGGTTCCTCTGACCGGCATCGACCTGAGCCAAGGCAAGGTCCTCATGAGCCGAGAGATCATCAAGAAGGACAGCAAGGTAACCACGCCAACACACACTCACAATAACTATACACCTCTACCATTGTTAGGCTATGTTTACACTGAAATAAATCACTATATCACCATATCAGAAACGATTTGCATCCAGACACATCGTTTCTGTGTCCACAAGTCTTACCTATCCACACAGTTTTGTGCATATTTCTTTACATTTTACAGAAACGAAACTTAAAACCACATGGCTAATTTGCATAAACTGAGTGCTGAAAAAACAGCTCGCTGTTGTGCACTGATGTGGTTCAGCTTCTGTCAGACTAAAGGACACGACTCAGTGGAGTGGAGTGTTTTTTCTATGACAGAGGGGTGTTCTGCTGATGATGATTCTGTTCTGTGCTTTTGTCGCGTTGGAGATGGTTCATGGCAGGTCATATGTATAAATTGTATACATGAATATTCTAGCCTCTTAGCGTTTTGGCAGTGAATTACTTCTCGGTGCATAGACTTACGTCAGTGTATCAGCATTTTCAGGCGTCTACACAGTGCCGGATCAGATCCGTACTCATGAATTTGTGGGAGCTGGTGGCACCAGATCGTTCCGTCTCTGGAGCCGTTCGGATTAGTGTGGACTAACACTGCATCCACAAGGAAAACAACTCAAATATGTACTAGTGTGGACAGGGCCTTAGACTCATGTTTGATGAACCCTACTACTGCAAACATGACATAAAGATGCAGCATGTACTTTTCTGATGAGGGGTTCATCACATGCTTGTCTCCATGGAGATGTTATTGCTTTGCTTTATTGTCTGGAATGTTCCATAGTGTGGCCTTTATTCACTTTGCATTTATTCATTTACAAATGTTTTTATTGCTCAAAAATATCTCAGTGGTTAAGTGAGTAGCACTTTTCAGCAAAAAGGTTACAGGTTTGATTCCCAGGTCTTTCCGTGTGGAGTTTGCTTGTTCTCCCTGTGTCTGGGCAGGTTTCCTCTGGGTATTTCAAGTTCATATACTAATATTAGTATTCTTCATCATAATATGAAGCATATTAATCATAATTTCCCAAAGATCCACTTGGATCAATGCTCTTGTGTCTTTTGTCAAAACACTCCACCCACATTGCCTACTAAGACTGCGTTCAGACTGCAGCCTGAAGTGACCCAAATCAGATTTTTTGGCCCCTATGCTCCTGTATCTGATCTTTTAATGGCATTCTGAATGACACAGATCTGATTTTTTCTAAAGTGACCCACGCCACTTGGATATGTGCTCCTACCAATACGTATCCAGTCTTTTGACATGTGACTTCAGTGTGAACGGCCAGGTCGCATTCACCCTCCTACACTGAGGGAAAGCGAGGTTAGCGAGTTATTAATATTCCAATGAAGTCTATTCTCAGTCATGAATTACACTCTGTGGCTCTTATTAATATTAAAATACACAGTAGAATAAAAGGCATAATTTAAATGATTTGTAAAAAAAATAATAATAATAATAATAATAACATAAACAATAAGAGAATGGTTGAGGGAGGAAAGGTACATTTGCTGCAGAACCTTCATGTGAAATCCAATCAGGACCTGAGCGCGCATTTCCTGTCAGAGATACACTGGTATAGATCTGAAACCCAACACTGCCCCATCTGATCTACCCACAGGGCTTACAGGAACAGGACTCAGAACTAAACCAGGTCTAAACAAGGACTAAACCAGACCTAAACTAGGCTTTACCCAGGACTAATCTAGGAATAAAAATCACCCAAACCAGATTAATCCAGGACTAAACCAGGAATGTATCAGGACTGAATGGTCTTCAAGCCATTCTAAACTAGGAATAAACCAGGACTAAATCAGAACTAAACCAGGTCTAAACTAGGATAAAACAGGACTAAACTAGGACTAAACCAGGCCTAAACTAGGACCAAACCAGGTTTAAACTAGGACTAAACCAGGACTTAATTAGGACTAAACCAGTCTTAAACTAAGATTAAACCAGGTCTAAACTAGGATTAAACCTGGACTAAAGTAGGACTAAACCAGTTCTAAACTAGGACTGAACCAGGTTTAACTCAGGACTAAACCAGGTTTAACCAGGACTAAACCAGGTCTAAACTAGGACTAAACCAGGTCTAAACTAGGACTAAACCAGGTCTAAATTAGGACTAAACCAGGTCTAAACTAGGTCTAAACAAGGTCTAAACCAAGTCTAAACTAGGATTAAACAAGGTCTAAACCAAGATACCCAGATCAAACCAAGTCTTAACTGGACCATACCAGGCTTCAACAAGGATTAATCGAGGACTAAACCAGGACTAAAGAAGCACTAAACATGGCCATCTTAAAGCCTGTTTGCACGAGGACGCTTGTGGGTAAAAACAACAAAATATTTCATCGGAAGTGCATTTCATTTGGACAGTGACTGCATTTTTGGGGCTTAAAAACGCAAAAATCTGAAACCACACTCCAGAGTGGAAAAGCTGAATACCCTACGCTGTAGTGTTTCCATCTACACTGCCCAAGACGCAAAACTCTGGTCAGATCTGTTCACGTCGTGTACGCGTTTATGTCACATACATCACCACCTAACGTCACCACCTAGCCACCACTTTTGCTTCATCGTATGCACACAGATTTCCTCCCAAAAACGCACGTCTAAATGCAGAATAAAAAGGGAAGACACAACGCCACTTTTGAGTCTTCTGTTCAGACCGTCATCATATAAACATAGACTTAGACTTGAAGCATCAAACCAGGTCTATACTAGGAATTTATCAGGTGAGAATCTGCTGTAAAGGGACGTGCTTTGGTCCAGTCCTAGTCCTGGTTTAGTCCTGGCCTTGACCATGGGATGTTCCAGATTTGTGTTCCAATTGAATTTGGTGCATGTGAATCCCAACACCAGGACTACACCAGGTTTATACCAGGTCTAAACTAGGACTAAACCACGCGCAGTTAGTGCTTCATTAAATTGTGGGTGTTTTTCTGCTCTGTGGAGATGAGAGCAGTCAGCACACACACACACTCACACACACAGAGAGATCTGACCACAACACAGATCCATCAAAGTGAAGAAGGAGGGTCAGGTTGTGGCACAGAGACAAACTGAGATTTAGCTAGCGATACTTTGCCACTGGTGTCATCAACATTCTGTGGGGGTGTGATGCTAAACTGAAGGCACAGCTCTGTCTGAGGCTTTGTTACACTTTAAGATGAGGTTTATTTCAACACAATCTGATCAGAAAGAACTGATTTAGCTGCTACTTCGAAATTTTACTCAAATATTGTACTGACTAACTGACCTACATTTCCACACAGTTATGATGGGTAAACTGACTTGCAAAATGACACAGCAGCAACTGATTTGCGTGGGAATTGAACTGCCAATCCCTCCAATAAACTGCATTCATGTTCGAGAATTTGATGATGCCATAATTTCAGATGGAGGGCGGGAGATTCACTGTTTTTGAAAGAAATCGCCAAACTTCTGATCCACAATTGTTTCCTTCCTTCTCGTGACTTGTTTGGGGTCAGCTCCACAAACTTGTCATGTTTTTCTACTGGCTCAAAGTCCTTTAACCTGACAACAATCACGTCTTTGGGGTTAAATGGCACCACTTTTTGAGGTGACTGTGAAAAAAATAATTTGACTTTTGTTTATATATACTGACAGAGAAGAGGCTGAACTTTGTGCCATTTTTTGTTTCTTAGTAATTACAGAGATATGAACCATAAAGCAGATCAACTCATCTGCACACGTGAAATTTTTGACTTGTCTCCAGCTCAGTTTAAACCAGAGAGAGTCTAGAATGTGTTGATATCAAGTGAAAGCAACCTATCGGTAGCTGTTTGGAGGATGGCGATGTAAAGATGTCTGTATGTTTTGTGTTTTGTTCAGAAGACCTCAGGCCGAGGAGAGCTGCTCCTGTCCCTGTGTTACCAGTCCACCACCAACACCCTGAGTGTGGTGGTCCTGAAGGCGCGCCACCTGCCCCGCACCGACAACCGACCTACAGGTACGGACCAGGACCATGTGTATATACAGAGAGAACATAATCTGCAACCAGGGACCATATTTGGAAAGCGTGAAACCAAAGAGCCAATCAGGAGCAAGGCTGTTGATGTTAACAGACCTCGAGGAAAGCAGGCACCAGACTGGTCTGTCTTAATGTTCATGTCTTAATTTCGAGACAAAATAGCTAAATAAAAACACCAGGATCATGTAAAGTCAATAAAGTTGTTAAGTGTAATGAAGAAACATCGATCGAGATGCCGCACTTTTGCTCCGCATACGGACTGACTGAACCAGGACTAAATCAGGACTGAACTAGGACTAAAACAGGACTAAACCAGGATTAAGCTAGGCCTGAGTGTCAGGGTGGGCCCGAAGGTGTGCCTGTATAGCCTATAGGGTGCCCATTCAAGCTTTGTGGACACCCTGCTCCACGGGCTCTGGGTTCTCCCTATCTCTGTCAAGTCCAAGATTACTACTAATTCTGGTTCAGTCCTGGTTCAATCCTCGGATCATTCCCGGTTTGGTCCTGGTATTAGTTCTGGTTTACTCCTGGTTCAGTTCTGGTTCAGTCCTGGAATTAGTCTTGGTTCAGTCCTGGTTCAGTTCTGGTTCAGTCCTGGAATTAGTCTTGGTTCAGTCCTGGTTCAGTCCTGGTTCAGTCTTAGTTCAGTCCTGATTCAGTCCTGGTTTAGTTCTGGTTCAGTCCTGGTTCAGTCTGCATGCAGCACAAAAGTCCGGCATCTCGATCAATGTTTCTTCTGCCTGTGAAGTGATGATGTATTTCTGACAGTCGAGTCGCGTCTGTGAATTCATGTTCGTACTGAAGAAAGCGTAATCATAAATTTTCATTTGGTGATTGTAATTCTTGATGTCGTAACTTTTCAATTCGTATTCTGATGGATAAAATACACACAACACATCTTATGTACAACTGGACTCATTCGAGAGTTGATGAATATTTATTTTATGCTCAGCTACAGAAAATATGCACAGATTTCTGTCCTATGCACACGAATATTTCTGAAAGCTTTCTTACTCCAGAGATAAGGTTTAAAAGACCAGCAGTTATACACCGGCAATCCTGTTAATCTAAATCATTACTACATAATTTACATATCGGATATACTTTTATGGTTAAACATGCGCTTTTGAAAGATCACTCTTGTTTGATGAGTAAGGAACAAAAACTGAGTTAAAAAACAGCTGTGAAGTTCCTGATTGGACCTGGAAGTGACATCATCACGTAATAATGCTTTAAGACAAAAGAGTATTTTTAATTAAGAAGTATAATTAGTGGAATTAGTAGAAGTTCAAAGTAGAGCAGGAGGATCTGGACTCTAACCACATCTGTTCCTGTGCCCTTGTGCAGAGCCCTTCGTGAAGGTGAACATGTTCCACGGAAAGAAGCGCATCTGCAAGAAGAAGACCCACGTGAAGAAGAGCTCTCCAAACCCCGTCTTCAACGAGCTCTTTGTGTTTGAGCTGCCCTCGGAGCCGGAGCTCAGGGACATCAGTGTGGAGCTGCTCCTGATGGACTCAGACCCCCGCAGCCCCTGCCCCAGTCCTGGGACGCCTGCTGCTCGGGACCACCTCCCCGGGGACCCCCGGCGAGCACTGGAGGGAGATCTGTGAGCACCCGCGTCGCCAGATTGCTAAGTGGCACGCCATGAGCCAGGACTAGACCCCCTCTGGAGACGACCAATCAGAGGAGAAACCGGACATGAGGGGGCGGGTTTTCACAACTCCGCAGCTGGCATTGGACGGGGACTGAGAGGGAGGGGCTGGGGCTCACATCTATGACTAAACTAAAGCCCCATTCACACATAGGTCCCAGTAAACTGCCGGGTAGAAAATCCCAGAAAACACATGCCCCAGTCCCAGAACATTGCTGGGTCAGCTCTGGTCACACTTAACCTGCATATGTCTAACTGCACTCTCTCACTTAGCAAGTTAGTAGGGTAACCAAGCTCGTTACCAAGGAAACCAAGCTGAGATACTGGCAATTTTCCAACTTCATTCACACACATGCCTTCTTGCATAATCCTGGCAATTTACCTGTGAAATTGCCAGATCAAAAATGCAGGAAAATCAGTCTGGGTTCGTTCACACATGACCCTGTTCTGGCATAATACAGGTGAATTCCCAGGTCAGCCTGCATGTGTGAATGGGGCTGTAGACTTTTGATTTGAGTTCAGAAGTCCAGAGGAGCAGGATTCTGTTCATATGCATCCTCTGCATGACCACAGCTTCAGATTGTATTTATTTTATTACTTATATCATTATTATCCTTATTGTAAATCTCCTTATCTTTTCTTTTGATACTCTGCAACTGATGTCATCAACATTCCCTGGGGGGTGAAAGTAACTACAGGCATTGCTCCGTTAGACTTTAATCTGAGTTTTGTTTAAACACAATCTGACCAGAAAGACTTACCTACAACAGGTGAGCTGATTTGTTCCTCTAAAACAGGGTTTCCAACCGTTTTTCTCCAATGAGCTTCCTTTATGAAACAAAAAAAACAGAGAGCTACCAATTTCAGCAGTCACAAAGAAAGTAAATATAAGAGCCACGGCGAGCCTTAGATGGGGAACAGTTAGATGCTTATAAAACATAAACCATTATCCATTTATCAGTGCACCAATTTAGACATCAAAAAGACACATTTACCATATTTTCTGCACTATAGGGCGCTCTGGATTATAAGGCGCACTGAATCATTGAATGGTCTATTTTCAAACTATTTTCACATATAAACCGCGCCGGACTATAAGGCACATTAAACAAAACACAATAGTTAGATAAGTCAGTCAAATTTTATTTAACACATTCACACTAACTCTCAACTTTGTTCAATTGTAACACGTAAAAAAAATACTGTCTGAGACGCTAAATTGTTTGTGTATTCACAATAACTCATAACAGTTCAAACAGTTGGGTGATTACGGCGTCCACACGCCCACATCCCTCTCCTCATTATCCGAGTCAGTGTGGTTACTGTTCCCTGGCAGCTCAGTGATGATTCTGGTCTTGGTGAAAGCTCGGACCACAGTTGATCCTTAGTCCAGGAGTCCACGATCCATTGGCAGATCGTGGTGTAAGTCGCTCGGCGCTGTCTCTGTCTTGGTGAATGTGTGTTGTTCTTCTCTCATCCACTGCTCCCACACAGCTCACACTTTCACTTTATAATAGTCTTGAGTTTAAAGTGGCCGTTGTAAGTGTGTCTCTTGACAGGTGCATTTTGATATTAAAAGGAATCACAATATGTATTACTTCACAATGCTCCTGACTACGGTAGCTGTAATGCTGCAAGTGGTGCGGCTTTGTAGTTTACTAAAGTCGTACTAAGATACTAAGACCCCAATAAATTCATATATAAGGCGCTCTGGATTATAAGGTGCACAGTTGTTTTTTGATGAAATTAAAGGCTTTTAAGTGCACCCTATAGTGCGGAAAATACGGTACAATGATAATTACTGTAATTTCCAGACTATAAGCCACCACTTTTTTCTCACACTTGTAACCCTGTTGTTGTATATGCAGCTAATATATGGACGGATTATATGATTGGCACATTGTTCATTCATATATACGGTCTATGATTTGGCAACATAGCGGATGGGCGCACAACCTGAGTGTAGAAAGCGTCGCTATCTGTGCCGTTTACACATGGGTCTGGGGTTCCCATAAAGTTGCTACACTAGCTAGTGATGTTGTCAGCACTAAAACAGTTTATCCCTGTGTGATAAAATAAGTTATGATTCTAAATGAATATTAGTGAGGGGGATACATCTTATCCAGATGCGTTTAATGCAGGTAAATGACAAGAAGAAACGTCTCAAACTTCAATAGCTGGACATCCACTCATACCTGATCGATACAACTATGCCCGTCTGAAATATGCTGAAATCCTACAAAACCTATTTACATGATACAGACAGGACAGAGGCTCTTTCTGTAGGAGTCGTGCGTAGTAGCGCTTGGGAAGAAATAGGGGTGATACTCCAAGGAAGATTCTACTTTGTGTTTAGAACGGTTATTTTGAGCTTCATGCACCCGCCCTCCTCATGGAAAACACACGAAGAAATGCAGATGATGCAGCTTTTAAGTTAATGGTGATTGATGTGGCTGTGGAAGAAGGAAATAGAGCTGCTGCACGTGAACTTGGCACCAGTGAGTCGATGGTGAGACGTTGGCGACAGCAGCGTGACAAACTGACTCAATGCAAAAAGACAACAAAAGCTTACAGAGGCGATAAAAAGCAGATGGCCCCAACTTGAAAACATTCTTGAAGACGTAGACACCTTATATAGACAGGTGCGACTTATATATGTACAATTTTAAAATATAGTAAAAATTTAGTTGATGCTGCATATATTCAGGTGCGCTCAATAATCCAGAAATTATGGTAATCAAATTTGACTTATTATCCACAATACATAGAATTCTGAAAACCCTTTGCGAGCTACTTGGAAGGGCTTGGAGAGCTACAGGTTGGAGACCTCTGCTCTGAAATAACAGTTTTCCAGTTAGTCACTCTAATTTTTTTTGTTGAAAATCAAAACAGAAATGGTATTGATGAAAAGCGCTCAAATATGTGTTGTTTAAAGAGGGAGTATTATGCAAAACCAACTTTTTGGAGCTTTCTACCTTGTCATAACGTTGCTCCCTCATCAAAAATGTGCCTGAAGAGGTTTTAGATGTTTGAGTAATTTAGCGATCTTTCCCGGTTCTGTACAAGGCTCCACCCACGAGCCTCCGTCATCCATGCTCCAGCAATTTTCACAAATATACATAAACGTGATGCAAAACAATACACTGCAACTTCACAAACCTGGTGTGATGTGCAATAGTTTCATTAGTGGGATGCACACTGATTGCATAGTAATACCACTCTGAAGGGGGAGTGACTTAGTACTGAGAGCAAAGGGAGGGGTGGGGCATAGAATACAGCATTTTCAATACAATAAAAGCTAACATGATCTAAATATGTTATGTAGAAGTGTGATACCTCCTTTTAAATCCATCTGTGTGCGTTATGTCACCATGGTAACTGATGAACATTCCTCCATAGACATAGATGTTGCCACCCCCCTCGCCAGACATCACTGCAGAGTATCAATTTCTCTATTATGACATATAATAGCTTTGGCCTGTGTGCGAATCAGGAGAGACACAAAATGGCCGTGCAGCGAGGCAGCCCAGCATGATCGCACCGACTCCCGCCGTCACCTGGAAACGCATCTCCATGGCAACAGCCGTCGTCCCAGTAACAGCGAAATGTGGCTCTTTCTTTCTTCTTCCTCCCACTTTAAATTCCATCAGTTCTTCCCTCGTGAGTCAGTCGTACCAGACCCGAGCGCCGCTGTACAGATGTGTTTTCTAACGGCTCTTTGATGCTTTACCGATGTACGATGTTTTCTTCTGTTTTTGTTTCCTGGTTTGTCTGTGGAAGTGTTTTGTACTACACGACTGGACTGTGTGTGGAGCTGGCCTGTCGTCCTTTAACTGTGAGCACAAAGGAATTACGCTGTACATGTCATAAAACGTTGCAGATTCTGGAGGTTTCTGGCTGTTGTGTTTTGTTTCATTCACACATCTTTTGAGTAATCCTTTATTATTAGTCTGTCTACATCTCCAAAGCTCAAATGCGCAGTTCCACCTTGTGATGTCATGTAGTGGTAGTTTATTTGTTTATTTGGATGTTTGACAAATGTTAAATTGCATCATGTTCCAACAATAATCAATAGATACATACAGTAAAGGCAATTATTTCACATTACCAATCACGATATATAGTCTTCAAATGAATAATTCTGAAAAGGAGTCACAAAACGCTTACCGTAATTTCCAGACCACCGTGTTTTCTGCATTATAGGCTGCGCTCATAAGCCTCCAACCCCATCAAAAAACGATCCACAGCGCCCTATCCACGAATCCACACGGGTGTCCCAGCACGACTTCAGTAAACTATAAAGTCGCATCACCTGCAGCGCACGCAAACACACACGGAGCAAACAGTGACCACACAGCGAAAAACACCCGCAGCCACACTCATCATTCCACGCCAACGAGGAACAGAACAGACGAACGAACCGAAAAAGCGAGTGCAATGTGCCACTTCTAGACACAACTGAACAACTGAGTCAGTGCGAACACGCCAACAATCCGTTGGTCCCAGACAGCACCCTCCCTACACGCCACAACTGAACAAAGCCCAGAGTCACCGTGAACGCGACAAACAAAAAAAAACACTCACCCATCACACTGTTGGGTTTTGTTTTGTTGGCGTGTTCCAATTGTAGAAAATAATGACTGGAATCAATCGATTGAAATCACAAAAATGTATTGACTATTCAATACAATTCTAATAAGAGCTCTGGGTCAAACCACTGTCCCTGATGGTCTATTCTACACAGGTCTTACTTCAGGCAGTCTGAACACCTGCATCTGTCCCTTCACCCAGTATATATACATTCACAGAAATATGCAAATGATATGTTGATCAGGTTCATGCCTTGGCTCCTCCTTGAAGCCTCTCCATTTATGTGAATAACCAGATCTATTTAGGTTTGGTGCCAGCCAGGATGACCACACATCAGCTGCTCTGTAAAGAATTTCCTTAGACACAACCTACACAGCAGTATCTTTAAACACATATATCAGATTTCAGTAGTTAAGCA